GCTGTGTTCAGGGCCCTTAATGACTGGTGGGTTCCTTTGGAGATTCGGTTCCTGTTCAACACACGCACAGCTTTACGCCAGCGTGTCACCCGCGCAGCAGCGATGGGCGCCCTAGGTCTGCCAACCCTCACCTATCGACAGCACGCAGGTCTTTTCGCACTTACGCGGCCCCATCCCGCTGCCGCCGACCACCACCATCTCTTACGCCTACAATGTGCTTTGCGTCATTCTGAGCGATGTAGACTGCCCTGTTGTGTAATCATTGCTTGTTTACCGCTTCGCGACATATTCTGACGGCTTAAATTTTGATACATAATTTATTGTTGGCCAAGTTGTTAGAACGAATGGGCGATTGATAACGTGCGGATCTATTTGCGCCGTTTTTTTAAATATTGCACCGAAACTACTGTTGCAATCGTACCGAGTCAAACAACCCAGCTGTCTGAATAATTTGTGATTGAAATGAGCGTGAACATGACCCAGCCACGCATTCGCAATGAGAGGTGTCATTAGAGCTGCCAGTGGTCTTGCGCATACCGATGAAACTCACAAGACATTTGATGGATTTCCTCAGGCGTATTTGTGGATACGTGGCATTTTCACAACGCGCTATAATCACTTCAGCAGAGTTGGTCAGCTTTAAATGTATTAAAGAATTGAGGTCAATGACCTCTCTGGGATAACCACAGCCTTGGAAGGTACACGACATGCAATTCTGGGCACGCAGCCGTACGCGCTTATCACAGATGCATGCCATAAGAGTAGCAAACCATGTCACAGCAGCGCAGGGTATTTTTACCGCATTGGAGCGGCCAGACCATGCCCGCGCTATGTCAGGAAAACTTTCTCACATGCCAATAAATCCCGTACAACTAACAAAGGCACACCCTGAGTGCTGAGATGCATGGAAACCCACCACTACGCACAATCATCAACGTTCTTCTTGACTAGATTCAAAGCGTGCGAGCACAACCAGTGTCAAAAAACATCAGTAACAACCATGGCTGAGAATTGTTGAACGCACTAAGCAATTATATAACAGCGGCCCGACACACTGAATAAGTAGCCAAGGCGATGCTCTCATGTTGGTATTTTTAAAAGCACATTCTCCTTAGCGGTCACTGGTTAAACTAGCACAAAACAAAATTGTACATACATTTGTATGCGTCTTCCTCGCATGGGGCAAGGATGTAATTACCCAGCCAGTTCTCGCATATGTAGAACTGTCGACGAAGAACGCATCAGGCATTTGACGAGGCTACTTAGTTCACCTCAGCTACTTAGTTCAGGTACACGACAGATCTAAGCTCGCTCAACGTTCATCTCGACTAGTGAGGAGATAGTGCAAGGACATCCAGGGACGCAGCAGGTTGGACGTAAGCAACCATTGCTTGGTGAGCGGTGCTATTTACCAAAGCTTGTCCAGTTTGGAAACAATCAACACAGATAGTTGGAAACGCTTTCAGCCTCTCAGAGTCTCTGGATGGGCTTGCAATACTCATATATGTACATGAAGATGTATCTTGGCAAACTAGCTATTCACATCATGACATGCAAACGAATAGATATCGAGCATGTTCTCTACAATAGAAGAAGCCTAAGAGCTCTACAGGTATCCGGGAAGTCTTCTACCATCCACCACTGCTGTTCAGTACTCTGAAGAAAAAAAGAATAAGTTAATAAAAACACACATTAAGACATGCTACCAACTGAGCAGAAGCCTTATGACCTAGTTTTACGTCGTCCCATGTGTTATCCATCGATACACGTTAGTCATGACCGGAAACGCACCGCATATGAGCGTGTCATATTTGCCGGCTCACTTTTGTTCGAGATGTGGTTTTACTAACAATTGCCAATGGATGGTCGTATCAATTCACAAGCAAACTTGCCTTATTTCTCTGCTGATCCCACGACTGTGTTGACGTCGCCTTTACCACGACCGCGGTTTTTCGTTAGTCGCGGAGGCATCATAAGATGGTGCAGAGGAGCGCCTACATCTCGCCGGGTCAACTGAGGAGCACCACTGGTAGATAAATCTGCAAAAGGAGCATGCCCGACGGTCAGATCATCACGGATACCAGGTCAGATCATCAGGGGTACCAGGTCAGATCATCAGGGGTACCAGGTCAGATCATCAGGGGTACCAGGTCAGATCATCAGGGGTACCAGTCAATCATCAGGGGTACCGAGGTCAGATCATCAGGGGTACCAGGTCAGATCATCAGGGGTACCAGGTCAGATCATCAGGGGTACCAGGTCAGATCATCATGGTACAGGTCAATCATCAGGGGTACCAGGTCAGATCATCAGGGGTACCAGGTCAGATCATCAGGGGTACCAGGTCAACTATCAGGTATTTTACATCAGATCTGGTACCCACCTCCTGGTGGCCTGAACTGGTAATTCTGACCCCATTAGTCTGATCTGGTGACCCCACACACTGATGGCCTGATCATCAGGAGCACCAGGTCAGACCATCAGGCACAAGGCACCATGCCAAACAAGCAGGGGGCATGGGTACCAGGTCAGACCAGCTGGCAGTAGCAGTGCCAGGTCAGACCATCAGCAATGGGGGTACCCTATCAGGTGGCAGGAATACCAGCCCAGATCACTAAGCACAGGGGTACCAGGTGAAACCATCAGAAACAGAGGCATCAAGTCCTTCTACCATGTGACATAAGTACCAGGTCAGATCACCATGAGACAGCAGTACTATTCTACCAGGAGCACTGGTATCAATTCACACTATCAAGTTGTGGTACCAGGTAAGGCCACCATGAGGGAGTAGTATCAGGTCAGGCCATCAGGGGCAGGAGTGCCAGGTCTGGTCACCAGGGGCCAGAGTGCCAGGAGGTAGGAGTACCTTGCCAGACTCTCAAGAGCAGTAATATCAGGTCAGGAACCCCTGACCTGGAACTGCTGCCATCTCATGCAACAAAAGGGCCTCTTGAATAGAGAGTGCCTGCTAACACAGTACAGGGCTTCCTAGTTTGTAACACAGCCTCCCAAGTCAGCAGTGCTCACCATAACACGACATTGGGCCTTCTGATCTAGAACACCAGGGGCCAGGGTGCCAGATAACAGGAGTAGTACATTATACTATTAGGGGCAGATATCAGAGCCAGACCATCAGTGCTATATGAGAAAGTTATCAAGGCTGTACACCACATACAATGTTTAAAGCCTAGCTTGGCTCAACAACTAATGTATAATGCAGCGATCACTCAGCACACAGTCAGCTTTTTATCACTGTAGAGGCTGATCAGGCCATTAAGTAATAATATTAGACAAACAAGGGCATTGAGAGGAGTCGATCCAATTTGCAACCTTGATAGGTTATGAAAACAAACTGATAAAGCCAGCATGTTTGCTAGCATATTTTCTTGTAAATATATATATATATATATATATATATGTATATGTATATATGATCCAAACCCTGCTTTTAAATGACTTAACATACATGCAAAGAGTATGTGAACAGTTCAACAACAACCAACCATGTTTATTGTTTGCATTCTAGCCTTAGTGGATCCTGAAATACATGGTGATGAAGCCAACCTCTCCAGTAACATCTTTTCTTACCTCACTAGATCAAAATTTGCTTTTCAAGCATAGCTGCTGTGCATCCAAAGTTTGTAAAATTGATAAATGGCTGTTTTTGGTCACTTGCATTTTGTTACAATTGTGTACCTTGCTCACAAGATATCTGCTTGTCAATGCAAGAGCTTGAAAAAAAGCACTTAATTGTTAAAAAATTGTAAAAAAACACTTAATTGTAAAAAAACACTTAATCATTCCCAGCAGTTACTTTACAGCTTTCATGCAATTTTGTTAGGAGTGTACAGTATTTGTCAAACCTTTTCTTGAATTAATACCACCTGGGGTAAAATCATTTCCAGCATTTCAACAAAATCCAGATTTTGATTTGCACACCTACCCAGTCTTGCTTCCAGTGAGGATAGGCCAATTCCTTTTCAAACCAGAAGACAGGCATTCAAAGAATCAGCTGAAGATTACCATTTATCCTATACAAAGGCACTGCAACATTCAACCAGGTGATAAAAGCTGCTCCTCTTTATAACAAAATGCATGAGTACAAAGTATGTGCTACTTTTAATGAATTACCTAATTACAAAGTAGAAACAAGTGAGGGAAAATCAGTCCAGCCTGCTGATGCTGACAGATGGGCTGGCACCATGAATTTTCAGTTTGGGGAGGATTTTCAAGGACCCTCCTAAGCAAGATGGGGCTGCCTCACAGAGGGCCTTCTCAGCAACATTGCCTTGAAAGTTGAAGGGAAAGGAAAATTGCAGGTATTTGCTCCTTTACCAAGCTGTTATGAACATTATATCCATGTAAATAGGCGTTGACAACTTAAAACACTGGGCCTTCCAATTTCGCAGCAAAGGGCATTGGTACCATAAAACATGGCCTCCTGGCACATAAAAGGGCTTTGTCACCAAGAGCAGCATGCTTTCAATCCACAAATTAATGTCAATCCTGATTTGGAGCTGCTGCCACCCACCTGCCCGCCCGCAAAGAGCGGGTGGGGGAGGCGGGGACAGCCCCCCCCCCATGCCACCGCTGCATCGTCCCTGGTTGAAAGCACCCTGATTTTTACCTACACCTCGTCTCTGGCTGCGCGTACCTTTTTAAAGAAATTACTCCACTTGATCTGTGACTCGATTCGGTACGCACATACCTTAATGCACGCACAATAAGCACACACTTTCAACCCTCGTGGCTGGCGCACCCCACCCGCCCACACTCACCCCTCAACACGCCCGGCATTCAAAACCGCGGGTCGGCGCGGACACGGCGGCATACGCAGGCGAGTGCGCATGCGCAAACGTGACGTCATAAATCTGACTTGATTTACACAGTAGTGCAGTTGTGTGTAAATCGACTCGGATCTGACGTGAATTACGCAGGAGGGCCGTTTTCAGTATATCGACTCATTAGTCGATATACACGCTCCCAAAAGGTTAAGTACTTGAAGAATCCTTTGTGTCTATCAGCCTTAATTGAAACACTCCACTAGGGTAACACTCAATGAGAAACAATTGTGATTGGTTTCATGGCTTCAAAAAGTCCAGTGGGTCTGAGCAAATACTTGGAAGGAAGCACATTCTTAGGAAGATAAAAAATAGATAATTGCGGGCAGCCAATCTTGAATGGTCTTTGGCAACTGCCGATATCAGGTGCGCGGTGTTACCGTCAACTGTTGTCAGAGTGTCCTACAGTATGAGTTGTCTACACAGTGCAAATTCACCTCAGCTTTTTTGTTCTCATGACAAACCATGATTTGCAATTTTTGTTCACTCCCAATAGCCAAAACCAAATTTCAGATGCTGACTCAGTTGTCTGTCAATCATGATGCTTCAGGGATGCATCCTGCTGCCAGTGCCCTGCTACACAAGTTGCTACCAGTGTAACAGGCAGATGTTTGACCAGCTGCTGGTGTTATTGTAATTATTATAGTTTGAATGTAAGATGATTAGATGTCCATAAAATATTTCTTTAAATGGATATTGTGTCAGATGTTTTATAAATGTCAGTTGATAAACAATTTAATCTTGTAGCAATGGGTACCATTGTGGGCAACAATCTGTGGGGAATCATGCAACAGGTGCACCATGTTTCTTTCGGCCCCAATTGAGACTTACACCTTTAGAGCACAACTGTCAATATAAGCAACTGTCTGTCTGCCCCATAGCTTCAAAGAGTACAATAGGTGCAGTAATGCCCTTTTGAGGGAAGTAGTGCATGTAGGAAGCTAGAAATGCCAGGGCCCCAAACAATGCCCTGTGCCCAAGCAGGTTAACAGATGGACCCTTAACAAGAGTGTGGGGCTCAAGCAAGTGACAGAGAGTTGGAAGCACTCTAGGATGTAGAGGGGGGCTTGTAAGCATATCAGGAGGGTGTGGGTAGGTCATCAGGGGCCAACATACAGGGCCCCTGAGCAACGAGAATACCTCGGCAGATTAACATATTGGGCCGCGGCTGTAGCCCACAAAGTCTTCCTGGCAAATGGGCAGAGTCCCTTCCGTGGAAGGACTCTGATTGACAAGAACCCCTGTCACGCCAGTAGGAAGGGGCCAGTGACAACGCAGGGGCCCTCCGATGAAATGCAAATAAATGGAAGGCAACGTGGAAGGCTCCTTAACTGTCGGAATGATCCTGCAAGCGGGCATAAAGGTCCCCCAAAACAGCACGGCACCCCGGGACAGTGCAGTTAGACTTAAAATTCCCAATAAACCTTTTCAACCATTGCATATTTTGTCTTCTCATTGACCCTTTACTTTTGCTTGCAACTGTTCTTGGTCATCTGGAAATCCAAAAATGCAAAATTTTGTTGCGTTTTGTGTTAAAAAATGCGTCTGTTTGGCAGGCTAGGGGCTCATTCGGAGTCTATGGGCCCCTAAGAGGCCCAAGGGGGTCATTCGTGTCTTTCATCTGTTGCTCCTTCATTATCTGATAACTCTGTCCAATTTGTTGATTTCCGGTTCTGTAGTTGCTCAATATGTATGTAGCAGTTTTCTGCCTTTGGCGTTTTGGTTAAGCATTAATTTTCACGATGGGCGAAAGCTTTACATAATACTCTGTCTGACATGTGCGTGCGCCACTCCCGCAACTTGTTGTGGTCACTGATTTGCAGACCTATAACGCATCGTCACCTTCCTCTTCACAGCGCCGAGAAAGTCATTCCCAACTAACTAAACGGACCAAGGCGGCGACCTGACACTGGGCCGCCAGCATGGCTGAAGACCGAAGGCTGACGTCCAAGTACCTGGAGATGCGGAATGAGCTCGAAGAGAAGAGAATTGAACTGGAAGAGGATGTGGACACCTCACTGGCTTATTATCAGGAGCGCATGGAGAACCTGCTCGTCGACTCAAACCACGTGCCGCCACCACCGAATGTGCTCGAGCGGGACAGCGAAAACCTGGTCGCGCTGTCAACCATCCAGCGGCGTCGCGTAGAGCACTGCGCCGTCAGCTTTCGGCCGCTCGAGTTCGCCATGCGATTTTGTAAATACGTCAGCGACGGCGGGGCGTCATCCATGGCCCCGGACGTCTGGGGCACTATCGGCCAGCTGAGCGCCGACAGTTTCTTTCGACCGTCGCCTGGCCTGCGCGTGCTGCGGGGCCGCCTGCCGCCACCGAACATGGCGCCACGGGAGCGGCAGCAGCGCCAGCGACGGGCGCGGTCCGGCCCATTGGCAGCCGTTGTTTCGCCGGACCAGGTGAAGGCGTCTGCTCACCCGGAGTCGACGAGGATCCAGGTGGACCGGCTGCTCCAGGCGCTCAAGAAGCTGCACAGTGAGCGTCAACGGCCCATCAACTTCTTTAAGTTCGCCTACCACCCTACCGACTTCGGCGCCACCGTCGAGAACGTGTTCCACACGGCGTTCTTGGTGCAGAAGCAGTTGGCGCGCGTGCGGCTGGATGGCGACGGCGTGCCGGTGATAGAGCCGGTGACCGACCAACAGCGGCAGGATGACAACAACAAGGCCGGCCGCCACCAGCTGCTGATGCGTGTCGATCACGAGACGTGGCAGCGCGTCGTTAAAGCCTTCAACATCCAGCGGCCGCTCGTTAAGCCGGCGGCCGCGGCGGACGCGTTGCAGAGAAGCTGTGATGGTGCCGCGCCGCCGACGAAAAGGGACCGGAGATCATGAGCCACCCGCTGTGGACGGCGTGATTCTGTGCGGTATGTACATCCCACATATCGCGCATGTTTAGTTCATTCATTCCATTCCATACTGACTACCATGGCAAGCTTTACGCACCAATGCATAGCACGCTTACATGGAAGTAGCATGATTTTGCGATGTGGTTTAACGTGATCCGCCCGTTTTATGCCCGTGTGACCCGTATAACCGCTAGCTTTTTGCTCCAATCGTACGTGTTGGCTTGCCTGTAAGGGGCAAGTTTCGAAGCTTGTAGGGTGAGGAAGTGTTCACACTCGTAGCGTTTCCCACGCTAAATGGAAACGAGGTGTCCAGATTATGGGCCAAAGTCAACTCGTTGTCAATGTATCTCCACTTTTTCAAGGCACCAGAAGAAAGCCAGTCGTAGGAATTCAACTGAGTGAAAGTCGGATGTGATCATGAGCGTGGCTGATCTGGCCATTATAAAAGCAGCAATAGCAGCGTCTCAGCGTCTTGCCAAGCGGCGTCTCATCGTGTATTAGGATAAGGTCAAGAACTGTACAAGTATTTCTCCCTTACCGCTTTCTCAGTGCTGTTTGTTGCAAATACAAATATGTGGCAAACTGACAAAATCCATCGCGTTTTTTTGGCATCCAGAACAAACAAAAAGAAAAAGCATCGCCTCGGAACAATGTTCACCCACGCTTTAGACTAGAGTGGCATACCTACGATGACGGACGGCATGTGATGGGCACAAGCCGGGCGGCCGACGTACGGGAGGGGCATAGCACAAGGGGTGGACACTTGAAGGTTGTGGTACAAGCCGCGACGATGAAAAACGCATTCGGTTAGCTTGTGGTGACGAATGGCCATTGGCTCGGCAATTTCAGTCCAGCTCTATATTTGGAAGTACTCACAATTTTGAGCGCAAGATTCCCCAGGAGGTGGATGGCGTGGAACATTTTTAGGATGTGATCACCTAAAGCTTTGTTTTTCGCGTCTCGGAGATGCTCATGTTTTGTTTCACAAGGCATGCTCTCCCACTAATGCAGGATTTTTACTGGGGATACACATTTGAAATGTCGGGAAAAAATGGCGTTACGCCTTTTGCACCCGCCAACTCCACCCACCTGGCAGTTGTTCCACGTGCAGCTATCCGCGGGCATGGGAGGGGGAAAGGTCAAGGGAAAACCGAACAAGTTGATTCTCCAGCGTCCGTCTACTTTTTGAGGCCATGCGAATGGAGTGGCCAGATGAACGCATTTTTAGTTTTAGCGTTGTAGATCCGTTGCCTCCGCGAGTGTTATCGATATGCATGTTTTATTGTTTGATGAATGCGGGGTAACCTTGTTTGCATTTCTCGTGGATGTGGGAGGGCCCACTGAGTCTAAATTGGCTTATAATTCGGTCAGAGTACAGTCAGCCCCGTGGCGGCGCGGGCATAAGGGTCCCATGTGCCAAGCAGGCAAAAAGCCGGAGCCAGCGACTTGCATTGCTCGGGGCCCCAAGAGGCTAATAGGGGCCTCTAGTGGGCCCGAGGCAATGGGTGAGGAGGTCCGACGAGCCTAGAGTGCCCACCGGGTCCAACGATCAAGGGCCCATTGCAGGGTCTAAGGGCATACGAGGCAATTCGGAGTGTTATTCAGGGGCCCGAATTGCGAAAACGGGCCTTCAAATGACGGTCAGAAGGTCCTTTGCGCCGATCGGGTACTCGATATGGGCATATATGCCGGCCAGGTACCACCAGTACCGCACAGTCGGCTCCATGTCGGTATGGGCTGAAGTGCCCACTTCCCAATCAGTTATAAAGCAGAGATCAGTGATTAAGACTGGTCGGGGGCCTTTTATTTGTCAGGGGCCCACGGTACCTAGCAGTGTCCTGTGCCCACAAGGGCCCCGAGCCGACCAAGGGAAGTGTTCGATGAAGCTCAAAGAGGGGCCCAGGCTGCCCACCATATCCGACGATCAAAGGCTCAGCTGGAGAGCATCGGGACCTGAAGGACTGGCTATAGGTCACGTAAAGAATCGCGGCTCGTGGAGCATGACCTGAAATGTCAGTCACAGGTCGTCTTGCACCGTTCGAGGAACCGCTAAGGCAATGCGGGTGTCGTAAGTCTGTCAGAGACCACGAACACCGAACAGTCGGCCCGATGTCCTTCCGAGCCCTTGTGAGCCATTTCTCAAGCAGAAACGAGGCCGGGGCTGGCGATTTGCTAGGCTCCCTGGCACAATAAGAGGTTCCTGCGTTTTTCAGGGGCCACAGTGCCTAACAGGGGTCCTGTGGTAGCAAGTGGCTCAGACTCGGAGCCGACTTTGAGGCGCCCGAAGAGGTGACGAATGGTCTCTGGAGACCAAAGATCAGGAGCCCGACCGCATGGCTGCATGGCTGAGGGGAAGATATGCCGAACAGGGACGGGAACGCGAATGCAGAGGGTCTTTCGCTTTGGTCGGGGCCCTCTGACAATGAAAGGAAACAGGAACGTATGATGAGTGTTCGCATGAGGCAATCGAAGGGTCCTGTGCCAATCAGGGCCCCCAATACCGAACGATGAGCCCTCCAATCCAATTCCAGCACGGTCGCGTTAAGACGAACTGGAGTTTAGGTGCCAATTATTTGATCACCTGCGGCGATCAGGAGTGTTGTTGCGCCAATGACAGTTCATGCTTTGATCCGGGGTCAGCTGCGCGGGTCAGAAGGCCTCCCGCTCTAGGGAGCGGAACAATGATAAGATGTACAACTATAAGGGCCTCTGGATCGGCCGGAAGATCCCGCCTGTGTCGCCATGATGGCGGCTGGACACACCACGCCGGGACAGAATGGCTCTTCAGTTCTTGGCCGGGAACGAAAATGTGTCCCCTATTGTTCTGCTCGAGGGAGCCCATTCAACGGAAAGAAATAAGGGGTCTCGTGAGTGTTGAACCGAGTCAGTCGAAATGAGGTAAAGAAACGGACGACGCCATCCCATGTTTGCCTGAGGACGCTCATTCTTTTGCGGAGTCGGCTGGTGAAAGAAATAACATCAAAAGGTTTGAGCCTGCGCACCGGATGCCGATAGTGTAGTGGCTAATGCGCCTGCGTTGGCCACTGCGCGTCTGGGTAACCAGAGGTACCGAGTTCGATTCCCTGCGGTGCCCGCCCGTACCGACAGGGTGAGAGGCAGGCGACGCCACATAGCAACAGCAGCTGAATGCGTTGTTAAGCTCCAATGGCACACCCACCACTCGGGGATCAAGGACAGCGATGGCGTGGGCTGCAGTTTTCGTAAAACCAAACGGTATTGGTCACTGCAAGTAACGCCAGGTGGCGGGCGCGGTGCGCGCAACGACCATCGTAAAATGATGTTTCTGAATGTCTTTCATATTCAATGAGTTCAATTCAAATATTATGCTGGGCGAACCTTTTTACGACTTTGTGGTCCTCCTCGGCACAGATTAACAGTTAAAGCAACACGAAAAATATAGATTTTACCTTTACTCTTCCAGTTCCACCACCATGTCCCAGCACCACTTCTCGGTGCTGCACAGGCCAGCCTGTCATGATCAACAATCTAAAAATCGCACAGGTGAAATATACGCCCGGAATATCTCTGCATGCACGGTTTAACGGTACTTCTTTCAAGTGCAGCATCATGTTCGTCCATCTGTTGGCTTCGGCTCAGTGTTAGCCGCAGGGCCGGCGCTGTGCTGCTTAGGACCACTGCCTATCGATGTCCGCCTATGATTCTTTGAGCCCGCGTGTAACCTTGAAGGGTGGCCTCAAGATATCAGGACGTTTTGACGGACTCTAGCTTTTGCACTTGTGAATATTTTGATACTCATAGTTTTCAAATCGGCCGGTAATTTATGGGTGATACGTAGTTCCCCGTCCTTTGAGTCTGCGTTTGACCTTGAAGGATGACCTTGAGAGGTCAGGATTTTCTGACGGACGCTTGTTCTTTCTTTGGTGAATGTTCTGATATTGTAAGTTGAAAAGCGGCCGATAATTTTTGGGTGATATCAAGTTCTCGTCCTTTGAGGCCGCGTTTGGCCTTGAGGGGTGACCTTGAGAGGTCAGGACTTTTCACGCACGCTAGTTCTATTTGTGGGGAATATTCTGATATTCGCAACTTTAAAATAATCGGGCCGTATATTTTGTGTGATGTGGAGTTCCCTGCTCTTTGAGTCCGCGTTTGGCCTTGAAGGATGACCTGGAGTGGGCAGGACTCCTAGACGGACGCTAGTTCTTCTTATGGTGAATATTCTGACAGTTGAAAGTTTAGAATCGGTCATAATTCTTAAGTGATGTAAAGCTCCCCGTCCTTTAAGCCCATGTTTGACGCTGCAGAATGGCCTTGAGGGGTCAGGATTTTTTGCACGAACGCTAGTTCTATCTGTGGGGAATATTCTGACAGTTGCAAATTGAAAATTGGCCAGTAACTTGTGGGTGATATCGAGTTCCCGTCCTTTGAGCCCGTATTTGACCTTGAAGATCCTTGAAGGTGAACTTGAGAGGTCAGGACTTTCTGATGGACGCCAGTTCTTTCTGTGGCGAGTATTCTGACATCTGCAAGTTGAAAGTCGGTCAGTCACTTTTGGGTGATACCGATTCCCACGTCCTTTGAGCCCCTGTTTGACCTTGAAGGGTGACCTTGAGTTGTCAGGACTTTTTGACGTACGCTAGCTTTTGGGCTTGTGAATATTTTCATTCTGATAGTTTTCAAATCAGCCGGTAGTTGTTTTTTTTTTTTGGTGATACTGAGTTCCCCGTCCTTCGAGTCCGTGTTTGACCTTTAATGGTGACATTGAGAGGTCAGGACTTTTTCACAGACGCTAGTTTTTTTCTGTGGTGAATACTCTGGCATCTGCAAGTTAAAAGTTGGCGGGTATTTTTTTAGCGATATCGAGTTTCCCGTACTTTGACCTAGCTTTTGACCTTGGAGGTCAGATGATATTGCAAAATAAGGGTCATTTTTGGTGTTCTCATGCCACAGTTGCCCCTGACGCCTTTTTCAAAGAAATCGGTACTCGTCGCTGAGAAAAAATCACTGAATAAATCGCTAACTTAACGGACATCCCTCCCCTGTGAAGAGCGAACGACGTCGGGTCGGATTTCCTTTCCTGCATAAGGTAACCGGTGGCGGTAGGGGCGCACTCAGTCTCCCTGAAGAGGGCGCGTGGGCTCGATGTGGCGACACGAGGGTGCGCTTGAATCAGAGGTCGACCCCGCCAAGGACGCCGGAGGGATGACCTCGCACGCATCGATGGGTTTCCAGGATGCCGTACGCTGTACGCGTTTCAGCGGTAACGGGCACGTCGGCGTCACGCTGGAATGGTTTGTTCTGTAGTCAGCCAGCACAGACCGCTGCACAGTGAGAAAAGAGCGGGGCCAGAGGGACTGCTACTCTCGTCAGCGCAATGATCAGCTCTACAGACAAGAGGATTTTCTGAATATGACGGTGTGGACAGCTGATGCCAGGAGATCGAGCCGGATCAACTGAAGTGCGAAAAAGCCATTCTCTTGCGTGTGTCGTCAGCCGCGTGACGTCATTTCGAGCGCGATGCTATTGACGCTGTAAGCTCGAGCGCCTTCCCACCATTTTTTGGCATCGTTGCGACGAATCAACAATAGCGTTCGGCTGGCCGCTCTT